GGGAGGGGAGGGGAGGGAAGGGAAGCCTTCAGGTCCTGGGACATGTGAGTGCACCTAGTAACTGTCTCCATCAAACTAACCTATGGATATTTTTCAAATTATTGTCTCATCTACATTACTAGATAAAAATGTCATAGCTCCTATGTTAAAACAGTTTTCTGTTACTTTAACAGATATCTGAGATCATCAACTTATAAAGCTTATTTTGACTCATGCTTTCAGGGTCTCCATCCATGTTAAGTTGGCCCCATCACTTTAGGCCATGTGGTGAGGCAGTACTTCATGGTGGAAGTACATGGCAGAGGAAAACTGCTAACCTCATGGCCAAGAGGCAAAAGAAAGAAGAAGAGCAGGGGTCCCACTCTCAAAGACCCAAACACTTCCTACCTGGCCACAACTCTTAAAGTTCCACCATTTCCCAATAGTGCCACGGGCTGGGAAACCAAACTATTAATAAAAGGAACTTTTGGGGATATTTATTCAAGCCATAGTACCCCTTGAATTGTATTATGACAGAACAGTAAAATTCTTCTCATTTACTCATTATAACATATCATTTTGACCATATATCATTTTGATCATATTTTGATCAATTTACAATGGGGTTGATCCAGGTAAAGAGGCTAATTCAAGGTATATGAAAGGTCACAAATACAGGTCATTGTGTGCCTTATGTTAAATCATTATTCCACATTTCTGTAGTAGAGAACTGGATTACCTATACATGGGGCACTTTTTGTTTGTTTTTTTGCTTTGTAGTGTGTGCTGGCCTTGAACTCACTATGCAGCCCAGGCTGGCTTCAAACTCACAGCAACCCACCTGCTTCAGCCTCCCTAGTGCTGGTATTATAGGCATGCACCACCAGGGCCAACTTACATAATGCATTTTTCAGCACTTAATTTTTATGCAATTCTATTTCTCAGTACTTCAGTATAGGTTGACACTAATAAAACAGTTATTATCTCTGTTTTGAAGCAAATGGAAAATCATACCAAATAATTTTCTTGGATGAAAACAGAAGACAAGTTGATTTATGAACTCTAAAGTTGTTAGGTAAAAGAGCTGAAAAACCAGGACCAGACCAGGACTACAAGCCTTTATTATGGGGAGATCTACGAGGCTGTCTCCTAACAAAGGAAAAGCAGCATGGAGGAATAGAGAGCTTCTTTTATAGAAGTGGGGTAGGGTTAACCTGAGCTGGGGTGGAATTGAGTGAGTTAGCATTAAGGGACTGGAGGAGTCTGTGACGTCACTAGGAGGGGCTTGTGACATCACTAGTTACTCAGAGGTAGCAAGTATCAGGTTACTGTTTTGGTGGGAAAAGAGGCATGATGGGAGGAAGAAGGTTGTCCCTTGGTAGGAGAAGTCATATTTAACATGAAGGCTGCTATTCTATGTGGCAGCCATTTTAAGGAGCAGGGCATTATGGGAAGAAGGCTACTGTTTTATGTAGCAGCCACCTCAAGGCAAGGGAAATCTAACATAGATGAACTTGGGCATGAATCATCTGATTATTTGGGGTGCACACACACATCTGGCATTCCATACCAAAAATTCCATGTGTATGGATTCAAATGACTATAGATGAAATTTATTCTAAAACAAGTCATTGCCTTTATACTGTTGTTTGTTTTTTCTGTCACTATTCCTTAACATAACCATTACTCACACATATCTACATTTTTTTAAATATTATAAATATTATAGAGATGGTTTAAAGTATATGGGAGGAAGAACATAGGTTACATGCAATACTATATTATTTTATCTAAGAGACTGAGACCTATGGTTCATGGTACAGGGAGGCACTACTGAACCAACTCCTAAGGATATAGAGGAATGACCATATATAAACAAAACATGTAGATATATATGCATTACCAAGAAAATTGACTTTAGTCGGTCTTTGGCCTCTAACTTCTTTGCAGATAATAGGAGGCTCTTTTGCTTCACTTTCTCCCTTCTGCCCTTAAAAGCCACTGTCTAACTGATTTTTAAAAATCTACAGCTGCCTTAAACTAAACTAAAAAGCCCCTTGTGCACCTTTGAAGGCTTCTACTTTGGTGATACCTTGACCCTAGGCTCAAAATATTTTTTGCCTTCTCTAAGCAACTGCACCAAAGCCAGGATTTCCACTCTATTCTGAAGAGCAGCAGTTAACATAGTGCCAAGAGAAACTGGAATGAAAACAAGGCTTTCCATTTTATCCACTTACATAATTTTGGGAAATCACAGAAAAAGCAAACATAAAGGAGTTTTATCTAAAATCCCAATATTTACTTATAAGTCCTACTACTTTATATTAGAGGGGATTTTAACATGCTGATGTGCTTTAATTCTCCAAATTCATGGTGTTATTTTGCAGTGTTACTATAACTTATTTCTTTCTAAACATCAGTCTTTGTAATTCATGAAACATTTGGATATAAATTAATGAATCACACAATTCTGGGAGGAAAAGAGGTACTGGAGACCTTCTTGGACCAATCTTCTCAGTTACACTGAAAAAAAAAGACACCCACAACTAGCAGGGCCAATGTTTCACACTATTGACTGACGTGGTGTTAGAAGCTGAGGCTGTTGTACCCTTACTGCTAAATGACAGTTTAGTGAACTGCCTTGACCTTTTATATATGTTACTGACGAACACAACCCTCACAATCCTAACCAAAGTAAAGTAGCTGGAAACCACTTTGATCTCAGAACCTGGGGCTTTGTAGTCCTACTTTCAAACCTCCAGCTGGCCCTTTGCAAATAGATTTCTATAAATAGATGATTGTAGTTGCATTTTGGTGTTGTATAAGATGTTCACAATCACTTTAGTCTTGAAGTACAAAATCCAGAAGCCATCAAAGAAATATTTTCTGGTTCTTATTTTCAACCACCTAGGATTTCCTGGCACCTCAATTGTGAATTTAACTTGCACCACAAACACTGAAGCAGGTAATTATACAAACTTAAAGTCATACCAAGTTTCTCTTCATTGCACATGGCTTGCTGGCAAGGATGCCCCTGAGGACACACAGTATTTCCTCTACTACAGGTTAGTACCTATTTTTACTTATGCAAATGTGTTGCTTCCTCTAGCCTTATAAAACTTATGAATGTTACAATTTAGGTATGGCTCTTGGACAGAAGAATGTCAAGAATACAGCAAAGATATACTCAACAGAAATACTGCATGCTGGTTCCCAAGGACTTTCATTCATAGCAAAGCACGCAACAGGCTTGCAGTGCATGTTAATGGCTCGAGCAAGCATGCTGCAGTCAAGCCCTTTGATCAGCTGTTTGATACACAAGCCATTGGTAAGGCAGATTTATACCAAAGCTGAAATTACTGAAACACAGAATCTCGGCACTGAAAAGGGTAGGATTTTTATTCTGATGCTCAGTAACCATCCAACCCATGCTGGCAAAGCACTGCTGCAGGGTTTCTCAACTTCAGAACTACAGATGTTGAAAATTTTGGCTGGATAACTCAGCCTACAGAAATATCCTTGACACTGCAGGATGTTTTCCTGCATACCTCTCATTACTATGATACCATTGATGTATAACCCCAACTCTCACTAGGGACCAAAATACATCTCAGTCACTGTCAAATTTTCCTTAAAGGAGAAAATTTCTCCCACTGCAGAAAGACTGTACCAAGAAAAATGAACTCACTGCTTCAGAGAGCCCATTCCATCTCTTATCAGATTTGACCGGTTTTGTGAAGTTTCTGCCACAGGTCCTGTGATGACGCTCTTTCCCCACAGCATGGTCCCTTGGTGGTTCAAAGGTGACCAAGGATCTCATACTAAGGCCCCTCTTCTCTAAGCTATCTGCCTACCCCAACCCATTCCTCAGACATTCCTCTTTACCACCCCTCACCATTCTAGACAGTGTAGCCCTCAGCATCTAGTTCTGAGCACTGAACATATTATTTAAGGTATCATCTACTTGGTTCTCAAAACAGAAGATGCGCCCCCCGCATCCTGGACAGTTTTGTTAATGAAACTCATCAGAAGCCTGTCACATAGCATTCTTATGCATTGGCATCCAAGACTTCAGTGCAGGAAGGGTTATTACCATGGAATAAGGAGCCAGACTGTCTCAGCTGAGGTCCTGGCTTTTCTACTGACCAGATGAGTGACTTTAGACAAGCTGACTATGATCTTATATAAAAAGCAGAGATAAGTGAATACTTTCTATGTGGTTTTTGTGAGAATTAAGTGTGTTAATAAAGATTTTAAAACAGTGCCTGGCCTAAGAGTCCAATAAAAACAGGCTGGGTGTAGTGGCACACACTTGTAATTCCAGTACTCAGGAGGCAAAGGCAAGAAGATCACTGTGAGTTTGAGTCCAGTTGGGACTACACAGTCAGTTCATTGTCAGCCTGGACTACATAGCAAGACTCTGTCTCAAAAAACTAAAAGAAAAAAAAAAAGCTCAATAAGTACAATAAACAATTATTTAAAAGACATAATTTGGCTTATGACACATTGATATTAAATAGAGAATAACGTCTGTTAAAGAATCATATCCCTTACTAAAGAGGTTATTCAATTCTCTTCAATAGTGTACTTTGTAGATTTTCATGAAAATGTCACTTTTATGAAAATAGGCAATAAAACATGCTGAGAGAGACCTGGAAACCAGTAATACAAAAAGGGATAGGAATTGATACACACTATTGTCATTTTATTGAGGTCCTAGGATTACTACAAAAAAAAAAAAAGTACACCCTTGGTAAGAATTTTCTTCTTAGACCTGGATCTGAAGCCAGTGAACCCCATTTTCTTAGGTTTGTCCCGTGATTCATTGTGAGATCTAAGACAAAGTTCACTCACTAGAAACACTTTCTATTCACCTTACACAGGTATGAGGCAATCAAATCTCAGGGGAAAGAACTTTATAGTAAGTAAAAACAATCAGTTGAGCCTATTTTATGCACAAGAAAACTAACATATCCTGTTCCATCCTCAAAACAATACAAAACAAAATACTGAAACCCAAAAAAGGGGAAGTGATTTGTGCAGGTAGGGCTTGGTGGTTGGTCCAGAACAATGTTCTCTCCATGGTCAGTTCTATCTTGAGCTTGCTCTAACTCAGAAAGTTAAAGTGATATTGGAGTGAATTTTGCAATAAACTGAAAGGAGAAGCAATTCTATCTAGAGTAGAAATCTTTTAGTTTACCAGAGAAGTCTCTCTTCACCACAATACTGGAATCTTATGGTAGGCCACCAAGTTCCTGTGGCTTGGAGATCAACTGATTAAGCCTTGATGGCAAACCTCAGGAGAAGCATATCTTAGAGAAAAGCCTTAAGAAGTATGAGTGAGGCCAAATCATCAGCTCTGACCGCTGGTTCTAAAGAAATGTCAGTGACCTCTCATTCTCTAACCTAGATCAACCAAATACTCCAATGAATGTCACAGCAGAGATTGAAGGATCTCGTCTCTCCATCCAATGGGCAAAACCAGTTTCTGCCTTTCCAATCCACTGCTTTGATTATGAAGTGAAAATTTACAACATGAAGGGTTATAATCAGGTAATTCTTCAGATCATTCCAATATATGATGACAAATATTAATTTCAGAAGCATTTAAAATTATACTCAGTATACAATTTTTATACAGAAATAAACCAAATCTTACAGACTTGAATGGAGATACTTTTGGCTAAAAATAATACAAAGGATCAGATTAAAATTTGTTGGTACTACTTCAAGTTAAAAGGTACAGCTGCCATGGAAAACAGTGAGTTGTTTTTTTTAAAAACATAGAATTATAAGGTGAGCCAATAATTCCACTTCTGGTGTATATATATATATAAATAACAGATTTCAAAACAAAGTCTCACAAAAATGTGTGGAAACATGTT